GCCTAGGTGGGTCTCAAACCCGCGGGCTCAGGCAATCCACTCACCTCAGCCTCCCAAGGTACAGGATTACAGGCTGAGCCACCGAGCCCGGCTTGTAGTCACTGTTCGTCTGTCCACAATAGAGTGCAAGTTTCACGGAGGTAGTAAGTGACCTCCTCTGTCTCGTGCATGGCTGTGTCCTCCCTGTGCCTAGAAGAGTGGCTGGCACACAGTAGACATGCCATACATGTGCATTTGGTGAACTAATGAATGGAAACGAGGATTGATTCATTCATGACTTTGGCAAACACACGCCGTGCTCAGCCTTAAGGTACACCGCTGACTCAGGTGCAGCTCTGCGTTGGAAGCGAGGAAGTGTGATGGTCTGGGAGGCAGGGGATTTGGGTTCAAGTGCTTTCTCTTCTACTCCTGACTTATGTGGCCTTGGAAAGCCACTTCACCCCCAACCTCAGTCTTCCATCCATACAATGGGCACAATAAACCCCGCCCATGAAATAATCACGAGGACTGCACGAGAAAATGTGTGCTGGGTTCAGCGCCACGCCGGGCCCCAGCATGACACAGCAGAGGCTCTTTCCCCTTGGCGGGGGAATCCAGCTGGTCCGCGTGGGCATGTGGCTTGCCGTGGAAGGGCGGCAGGAGTGTGCAAGTTTCTTCTTCGGGTGCTAGCGCCCCTGGGGGAGATAAAAGCGGTGACCAGAAGGCACGGGGAGGTGGCAGATCTCCAGGGTGACATCAGGGGAGGTGGGAGATGAGGGCGAGACGGCATGGATGGGCCTTGGTGAGCAGGTAGTCCTCGGATGTGTGGTGTTTGGTTGGCAGAGTGCAGTGTGGCTGGGACACCACTGGCCAGCGGAGGGGCACATGCAGGGAACAGTAAGGAAGTTCCCTTGTCTGGTCCATCGAGAGTGTGAAAGGGTGAGAAACAGGGGGAGGAGCACTCTGAAAGAGGGTGGGGAGAGCCGGGGCACCTGAGGCCTTGCTGAGGAGATGGAAACACACCCAGGCTCCTGAGTGGCTGGATTTCACAGAAGAAGCAGGTGATTTATCAGGGGGTGCCGGGCACCGGGAAGCATGTTGGCTGGAGCAGAAAGTATTCAAAGAGAATGTAAAGCCATGAGAGAGCACGTGAAGTTGGGGGGAAGACATGAAATCCCTGGAGGGGATATAAGGGCACGAAAGGGGCTGCGGAGTCATGGGAGAAAATGTGGCTTCTTGGGAGGCAGTGTGGAGTCAGGAGGGAGGATGGGGCTCCATGGGAAGGATCTGGATCCAGAAGGATGTGGAGCCGTGGGAGTGGGTGTGGAGTCTTAGCAGAGCATGTGGCATCTTGGGAGAGGGCCTGGAGTCGCGGGCCCTGGCGTGAAGTCGCGGAGGCCTTGCCCCTTGCCGTGAGCGTGCCCAAGGAGAGCGAGGGTCCCAAGGGCTTTGGTCTTAGGTGACAGCACTCGCTCTCAGCAGAGCCACCCCTTGGCCTCCTGTCCTTGAGGCTGTTTGCTTCTGAGAGCAGAGGCGTCTGAGTTGGAAACACGGCAGGAGGGTCAGGGAGGCCACAAGGTTTGCCGAGACTCAGCTCAGCCGCCTGAAAGAGAATGCTCTTATTTTCCAGTGGGGTGTCCTTGAGGTCCTTAGGGACTCCCAGCCAGCGGGAGGTGATCAAGATGACATGAAAAAGCCTGTTTAATGGTGGTTTGCAGCCATGGAAGGCTTTTTTATTTGCCTGCCCCACGAAGCTGGATTTTTTAAATTTGTGGCCCAAAGCATACAAAGTGTCCCCTCTTCACCACTTTAAGTGTGCAGCTCAGTCTTGTGGAGTGTGCCCACATTGTTGAGTGCTGGGTCTTCGGGTTTGTTTGACCTTGCATGACTGAAACTTTGTACCTATTAAACGACAACTCCCTGTCCGCCCACCCCCGCTCAGCCCTTGGTAGCCACCATTGCACTTGCTGTCTCTCTGGCTTTGAGTACTCTAGGACACAGGTCCCCACCCTCCTGGTATCAGTCTGTGGCTTGCTAGGAACTGGGCCGCCCAGCAGGAGGTGAGCGTTGGGTGAGCAAACGAAGCTTCATCTGTGTTGCAGCCACCCCCGGTGCTCGCCTCACCCACCGCCCAAGCGCTGCCCCTGTCAGATGGGACAGCCTGAGGTGCTCGCGGGAGTGCAGAGCCGACTGTGAGCTGCGCGTGTGAGGGGTCCGGGCTGCGGCTCTTTGTGGAAACCTCACGCTTGCTGACCTCTCCTCCTCCTTGGGAAATCAGCTTCCGCAAGGCCAGTCCCTGGGGTCAAAAAGTCTGGGGACCGCTGCTCTAGAAAACGCACACACATGGCGTCCTACAGTGCTTGTTCTTTTGTGTCTGGCTCACTCATTGTAACACAAAGTCCTAGAACATCGTGTCACAGCAGTAGGCAGGATTTCCTTCATTCTGAAGGCTGAGTGGTATTGCGTTGTGCGTGTGAACCCCCTTTGGAGGGTGGGGTGTCCCGGGGTCTGAGGTCTCCCTTGGGCTGATCCGGGCTCCACACATGGCCTCACAGCCCTTTGGTAAAGACCTCTCTGTTCCCACTTTTGACAAGTTGGGAAAGTTTATCTTTGGACATCTGGTGCCTCCCCTAGCCTGAGAGGTCCCACTCCTTGGCCAGCCTGGAAACACAGTCGTCAAAAAAGTGTTAGATTGATTTTTGTGTTAATGGTGACATCCTCCTTCAAATAAGAGACTCCCCCTGCTCTCCCCCTCCTCTCCCTTGCTCAGACAAATCCTGGAGTCTGGAATTTGGGTTTAGGCACCGCAGTCCAAGAGGGAGGCTTGGGGAAAAAGTACATCCTGAAGGAAAGAGTGGCTGGTTAGAAACCCAAGCCTTATCTCAGAAATTTTGAAGAAGGGTCTGTCACCATGGCTCATGTCTATAATCCCAACACTTTAGGAGGCTGAGGCAGGAGGGTCACTTGAGCCTAGGAGTTCAAAACCAGCCTGGGCAACATAGCAAGACCTCATCTCTACCAAAAAAAAAAAAAAATCAAAAGATTAGCCGAGCATGGTGACATGCACCTGTGGTCCCAGCTACTTAAGAGGCTGAGGCAAAAGTGTTGCCTGAGCCCAGGAGGTCAAGGCGGCAGTGAGCCATGAGCCGGCCACTGCACTCCAGCCTGGGCAGCACAGTGAGACTCTGACTCAAAAAAAGAGGCAGTTTAATATGTACTCCCTGGGTAACCTCTTCCATCCTCACCACTCCAGTTACCATTTGTCTGGGAATAACGCTCATGTCCAGACCTCAAGGTGATCAGTCAGAGTAGGCTAGGTTCTGCCGTGTAACAAACAGCCCTGAAATGTCAGTGGACCAACACAACAAAAACTTTTACCTTACTTATACTACATGTCCAATGCAGGGTGTCAGGGGACTTTCCTTCACACGATCCCTTGGGGTCCCTATGTGACGGAGGCTTTCCCTCCATGTGTGCCTTTTGGTCATCCTGTAGCAAAGAACAGATGGGAGTGATCATGCCTGGCCCTTCAAGACCTCTCCCAGCCCAGGGATTGTATACCCATCACCCAGGGACCTAAGAAGTCAGAGTCCTCCAGCGTCTGGTGCTGTGGGCCCCGAGGTGTGGGTTTCAAAACACGGGGCAGAAATGGCAGGTACTGGGGCTGCCCCATCGTGAATTAGCGCCACTTTGCCAAGGCATCCAGCCATCAGCTCTGCCCCTTTCTCTCTTGCTTCCACATGTACTGGCTTGTTGACTAAACGAGGTAGTGCTACATCTTTTCCCTTTAATACTCTAGCTATCTGCGTTTTTCAAAATCTGCTGTCGGCCGGGTGTGGTGGCTTATATCTGTAATCCCGGTGCTTTGGGAGGCCGAGGCGGGAGGATCACTTGCGTCCAGGAGTTCAAGGCTGCAGGGAGCTATGATCACGCCACTCCAGCCTGGGCGACAGAGCGAGACCCTGTCTCTAAAAGTAAACAAATGCATAAAATTAAAATCGGCATCAAAGCCCAGTGCACTCAACTTCAGAGATGAAGAGGCCAACACGAACACAGCTGGAAACATGTCCGGTGTCCTGGGCTCCATCCACGTTCAGCCTGGTGCCCTGCGCTGTCTGCACCTCTGTTCTCAGCCCTGAGACATCACGAATTCTGTGTTGATTGGTGGCCTGGGGTCCCCTTAGATCCCTGATAATCAAAGGCAGATGCTACTCTCGAATTCCATTACACCTGGCAGGAGGTGCTGGGTGGGCGTTCCAGAAAGGGCTGAGCAGGACGTCACTGAGCTTGTTCTCCCTTCAGTTTCTTCGTGCAAGATGTTCTCCTGAGCCCTGAGCCTTCCGTTTCTCCGGGGATCCTGGGAGTCCTAGGATGAGGGACATGGAAGACCTTACAGGTCTCGTCCCATCTTCCTGGTGATGCAGTTCAGTCCCTGGAGTCACGCAGCCTGTGGGGACAGGGTAGAGATACACATGCGGAGTTCCCGAGTTCCAGGCCCATGCTGCACCACTGCACGGCAGGAGGCTGGGGTCGGGGGACCGCCTGAGCCCGGGAGTTTGGGGTTGCAGTGAGCCGTGATCGTGCCACCGCACTCCGGCCTGGGCGGCAGAGGGGGCCCCCGACTCGGGGGCTGCCTTCAGTGGCGTGAAACGCTGACACTTCCTTTCCTGCGTGGAGAGTCGAGAAGCAGAACGGGGCGGCTTCCATGCAGCCCGCCATCTGCTGGTCCCTCAGCGGCCTCACCCCCAGCAGAGCTCCTCCTGCCCTCCAAACCCACGCCCGTGATGTAAAACCGCCCTCTCCCTGCCCCATTTGGGCCGGCGGCCTGAGGCCTCATCTTCTGGGGGCGGTGAGCACAGTGGGTGAAGGTGGGGCTCAAGGAAGAGACTCCTGTCCACGTGGCGTCTCTCTGGATTTCGGCCAGCCTGAATGGTCCCCAGGCACCAGGGCAGGGGTGGGGCAGGGGCGCACACTGGGTGAAGTGGCTGCGTTCTCGGATCCCGTGAGGGGCCAGAGGGGAGCCGTCCAGGCCCGGGCCAGACAGCCCCAGACAGCAGCAGCGGGATTGGGAGGTCCTTCCCGAGGTCCTTCTCGAGTGCCAACCTGGAGCCGGCCGTGTTTACACTCTCTTTGAAAGCACAGCCCTAGGGGTGATCCTCACAATAGCTTGCAAAGTCGGCAAAGCTATGCGCATTTTGCAGAATGGTAAACTGAGGCACAGAGGAGCTTGCCAGATAAAATGCAGAATGGCCAGTTAAGCCTGAATTTCAGATAAGCAATGAGTCATGTTTTTGTGTAAGCCTAAAGTTCAAAGTTAACTGGGGTTCTGAATTGTATTGGCTAAGTCTGGCAACCCTGGTACAGAGAGGCAGGAGACTTGCTCAAGGCTGCACAGCTGTCAGTGGCCGAGCTATGACAGAAACTTGGACTGCCTGACCCAGTGGTGCGTCCTGAAGGGCCGGCCTCAGCAGCCTCGGGTCCCTGGCCCCACCCCAGCCCCACCTCCCTGTCCACTGTGTGGGCCTCGCCTCCGCGCTGGGACCCGGCTTGACCCTCCCCTCCCTCAGCGGCCCGGCCGTCGGCCAGGCCGGGCCCTCAGTCGCACGCGCTGCACCCTCCAGAGCATCATTGGCTCGTCCGTTGAAACCGTTTGGGTGACACACGCACGGAGCACGTGCTGTGACCACCCTCTCTAAGCGGCTCGGGCTGACGGAACCCCACCAAGAGGCTGGCACGGTCCCCGTGAGTCCGCCCCTCTGGACACTTCCATCCAGTGTGATCCTGGCTGCGGCCACACAGCTGTGTCCTGTGGGGCATCTGGGTGGTCGTCCAGTGTCAGTGCTCTGCCCCGGGCGAGTGCTGGTGGGGTGGCTCCCAGGCTGGCAGGAAGGAGGCCGGTGGAGGGGGTGGACGGGGGAGCCTGGTGCCCACGGAGGCGTCTCAGGCCCAGCCTGCGCCTGCTCCCGCGCGAGCCCCTCCTGGAGGACACACATGCTCTCCTCCCACTCACAGGTACTACTTCCCGTGCCAGCGCTGGCTGGCGGTGGAGGAGGACGACGGACAGCTGTCCCGAGAGCTGCTGCCGGTGGACGAGTCTTACGTGCTGCCACCGAGCGAGGATGAGGGCGGGGCAGGCGGGGACAGCAACCCCCTCGACAACCTGGCCCTGGAGCAGAAAGGTCCCCACAAAGAGCTGTTCTTCCCCGCCCGCGTCTCCACCTTCCCTCCCCGCCATGGGCTCTGGGCGCCTCCTCCTCTGACAGCCCTACTGTCTTCTTCTTCTCCTCTAGGCAGAGCAGGAGCCATGCGCCCATGGGTCTGGGTACGGGTGGTATGAGCAGGTGGATAGGGCGAGGTCATCGTCGGGGTGGAACAGACTGGCATGGAGTGGGATGGGATGGATGCGGTGGAGTGGAGTGGCACTCACTGGAGGGACTGGAGTGGAGGGGGTGGCATGGAGTGGAGGGGATGGGATGAGGTGGCTGCAGCCACTTCTGTCTGGGCTCTGGCCCCTTCTTCAGGCGCGGGATAGAATCTCAGTGCACGTCGTCAAGGGAAGGGATGCCCAGGAGCCTTCTGGAGTCTGTGATGCTTTGCTCCCTCCCCCGAGACTCGCACCCCTAAAACGGCTCCCGGCCTGGAGCCGTCAGACTGGGCTCCTGGCTGTGACCTTCGCAGTCGCCCCGATCCCCTAGCCCCTGGTAGACCCCACTGATGGAAGGCTTCCTGTGTGACCTGAGGCCAGGGAGACTCTGGAGGTTTCCAGGCTTGCAGGACTGCCGAATGACACATGCTTCAAGCACGGTGGCTGCAGAAGTGGTCCACAGGGCCATAGAAGCACGCGTGTTACCGGTCACGAGGCATGTGGGTGTGGGACTGGAGGGGCCAGGGAAGAGGTGGAGTGGTGGAGCCAGAAGGGGTGAATCAAGGAAGGCTTCCGGGAGGAAGCGGCTGCCCTCCCTCCTCCCGTCACGAGAGGAGGAATCTGTAGCCCTCTGCTCTCCGCTCTGCTCCCGGCAGATAAGTCCACCACATTCTCCGTGACCATAAAGACGGGGGACAAGAAGAATGCAGGCACCGATGCCAATGTCTTCATCACGCTCTTTGGCACGCAGGACAACACCGGTGAGAAGGCAGGGTGGGTCCGGGTCCCCGGTCCTCCAGGGAGGCAGGGAGGCTCTGCAGGGGTTTCTGGGGACATCCTGGCCGTGACTGTGTCCCTCGGCAGGGTGTAGGCAACTCTCCTCCAGGAGGGAGCGCCTTCTCCCCAGACGATCTCTGCTTGGTGCTGCTCTCTCCTTCCGTCCTTGAGGCAGGGGCAGCCCTTTCCTCCAAGGCGGCTGGACCCGGTTCCAGCGAGGGGCAGCCAGGGCACCAGGTGCCCTCGGCAGGAGGCACTCTGGGCACCTGGCCGCTGTGGAGCGTTTGCCCGGGTGCTGGGAGAAAGTGTCAGGCTCAGCTGCTCACCCACACCACCACCCAGCCCCTCCGTCGGAGTTTAGAGAGGAGTCTGCCCCAGGCAGTCGTCACAGGCTGGCTCCAAATCCTGTGGGTCCAACATGACTGAAGTCTTAATGTAGCTAGCCCTGGTCACGGCTGCTTGTATTCTAACACATGGCATGAGAGCACAGAGGCTGGGGCTTGGCCAGTTGCCTCAGACTTCCACTCCACCACTTGTTAACTGTGTGACCTTGGGCAAGTTGCTTAACCTCTCTGTGCCTGAGTTTCCCCCACTTGCAAAATGGGATGAAAACGAGTACGTGGCCTCACAAAGTTGTGGATTTAGTGAGGTTGAATATGCAGAGCATGGGGGACAAAGGGGCACTCCATGGACATTAATTGCTGTGGTGATTTTCAGGTTCAATAAAGCACATAATGTCTGATGAGATGACTGGGTCACAGCTCATGAGCGTGTGTGGCTGTGCCCGTCCTGAGGCCACGGTCACGTCGACGGTTCTGACACTTACAGAGGGTTTTCCGGGTGTTGGACACATGCTTGGACCCAAACAGTCACCTCTTCAAATGCTCACAGCAGTTCTACATGGAGGACACTAAGACCTCCCTTTCTGACCCTTGAGGAGCCCAGGCCTCAGGGGCACTGAGTAGTTTTCCCAAGGTCCTCCTGACAGTGAGCGGCAGAGCCGAGCGTGGCACCAGGCCTGTCCTTCAGTGCACTGGCCAGTCCGTGTGAGTCTGGGAACACTGGAAGACTTCCCAGGCGCGGTGGGCCCAGCAGCACTGGGACACAGGGGACACGGGGACTGAGAGGCCACACAGGAGTGCTGGGGGGGGAGGACACGGCAGTGATTCTGAGACCACCTCTCAGAAGACACCCCAGCCCGGGGCCCAGGACAGGCCACCCCTTCGAGAGGCCAGGGGAGGTGCTCTCTGTCATCCAAGGAAAAGTCACCAGAGAATTCTCACGCGTCCCATCCCCAGTTGGAGCCCCCAGCTTCCCCAGGGAGCAGGGGAGGGTGGCCTTGTCACTGGCTCTCTACACATGTAGAGAACTGTGAAGGATATGGTTTAGCTGTCAACTGTAAATTAAAATGTGCACCCCAGGCCGGGCGCGGTGGCTCATGCCTGTCATTCCAGGACTTTGGGAGGCCAAGGTGGGAGGGTCACTCGAGCCCAGGAGTTCGAGACCAGCCTGAGCCACGCAGCAAGACCTTGTGTCTATTAAAAAAACAAAACAGGGCATCCCTCAAGGGGTCACTGTAGAGCTCAAGAAAAGGACACACCCAACATTTTTTAAAAGCCAGTGAAGCTGAGGTCCCCCCGGGTGACAGTCACACAGTCTACACTGGATGGAAGTCTGCGGTGTGGCCACTTGGAAGGGGGACTTGGAGGTAGCTCCGACTCGGTGCGGAAGGTCTCGGGGCAGCCCCTCACGCTGGGGTCGTCTGGCTGGCAGGAGTGACCCTCCTGAAGTCCTCCAAGACCAACAGCGACAAGTTCGAGAGGGGCAGCATCGAAGTCTTCACGGTGGAGACGCTGGACTTGGGGGACCTGTGGAAAGTCCGCATCGGCCACGACAACACAGGTCTGGCTTCCTTCCCTCTGGGCCCCGGCTGAGGCCACGAGGACTGTGGGCAGGGCCCTGCGGGCGCTGGGGGAAACTCAGACATCTGAAGGCTTCTGCCTTCCGTGGGATGGGATGCAGTGTCCCCGCTTTAGCTCCCTGAGATGCTGGTCCAGCCAGTCTGGCTGGACCTGGACACGGTGCTTCTAAAGCCCTTCCCCATCCCCCACAGTATGGCCAGATTTGAAAACCCCAAGGTAGGCCCGGTGGGGCGGCTCACGCCTGGAATCCCCGCACTTTGGGGGGCCAGGGCGGGAGGATGACTTAAGCCCAGGAGTGCTCAAGACAAACCTGGGCCCCGTGGTGAGACCTCATCTCTACAGAAATACTAAAACTAGCCAGGTGTGGTGGCGTGCGTCTGTAGTCCCTGCTACTTGGGAGACTGAGGCAGGCGAGTCGCCTGAGCCGTGACCGCGCCATGGCATTCCAGCCTGGGCGACAGAGTGGGATCCCAACTCAAAAAACGAAATGGAAGCCCTGCTCCGGCTCAGTGGCTGCCTAGTGTGCATCAGAGTCACTCCGGGGCGTCACCAGGGCTTTCCGGTCCCGTCCCAGAACCTTTGCCTCAGTGTGTCACCCCTGCCCCTGGGTGCCGTCGCAAGCCGGGCAAGCATGGGTTCTTTTAGACCCTGGGCGTGGGGTCCCTGTTTGAAGCCCCTCCCCTGGGACAGCACCCTTGCTCCCCCAACCCTCCAGTCGGCCCCTGCCCACGCTCCCTCCCTCTTGCCAATCTCGGCCAGGGCGCCATCCAGCCTCCGCGGGGCGCTCCCTTGGACAGAAGGGACCGCACCCTGACAGGTGGGAGGGGAGGCCCCCATGGGAATCCACCCCTCACGCCCCGGGGGCTCTGTCTCCTCTTTCCCCAGGCAAGGCCCCGGGGTGGTTCGTGGACTGGGTGGAGGTGGACGCCCCCTCTCTGGGGAAGTGCATGGTGTTCCCCTGCGGCCGCTGGCTGGCCCGGAACGAGGACGACGGCGCCCTGGTGCGGGACCTCTTCCACGCGGAGCTCCAGACGCGACTGTACACGCCATGTAGGCACCGCTCAGGAAAGCCGGCCCTGCCCGGTCCTTCCCCTCACACCGACTCGGGCAGGCCCCTTGGGGACTTGGGGCTCTTGTGGCTTCCTGAATTCCTTGGGTGCTGTGGGGCTGAGGGCAGAGCCCGGACCCAGGGGAGGGGAGAGTGGATCCATCCCAACCGTGCCCGAGGCCAGCTGGCGCCGACGTGTAGCAAGCCTGGCCGCTCCGGGCTTGCTTCCCCATCTGCGGGCTGGAGATGCCCGCAGGATGGCGGCAACAGCCAAAAGGAAGGAAGCCAGAGGTCCAGTAAGGGTTCTCACTCCAGGCGCCCACATGCTGAGTAGAGCATCCTGCGAGGCCGTCTCGGGGTTGGTGATGGCCGCCCGCCCCCGCGGCTGAAGGAGCCCTCACTTGGGGTGGCAGGAAACAGGCCGAAGAAGGGAGACATGACTGAAACAAGTTTCCAGCCAAAGGAGAGGGGGAGGGGAGCGACTCGGTGGACCCTACACCCCCTGCCCCTGCCCTCCCTGAAGAAGGCATGAATGTTTATGTTGGGGGAAGTATGTGCTGTGTGCGGGAGGCGGAGGTGTCAAACTGAGGCCCACCAAGCCATCAAAATCTGGCTGAATCTGGCAAAGTCTGAGCCAATTGCAGAGCATAAAGTTTTTTTTTCTAACTAAATAATAACTATACCAAAAGGTCTGTCCCAAACAACTAAAACTGCATGAATCGGTGCTGAACAATGTTTTTTTTTTGTTTTTTTTTTTTACCTAAAGCCATAAACTGGAAATGAGCAGGTCGTGAACATGTCCTCTGGTACAAAGCCTGAAAGGTGCTGTTTTTCTGGCCTGGCGAGCACAGGGCTGCCGGCAGGGCCGGGAGGGACCCTGGCACGGAAGTGCCCAATGCCTCCTCTTTGCCCTAGGACGTGCCTATGCCTGTGGGGAGGAGGGGACGAAGAGAAAGAGAGACAGAGAAAGAGAGACAGAGAGTGGCTCGTGCTTGCAACCCCGCCAGTTTGGGAGGCTGAGACGGGAGGTTTGCTTGTGCCCAGGAGTTAGAGACCAGCCTGAGCAGCAAAGCGAGACCCTCCTCTCCTAAGAAAAAAGAGAAAGAAAGAAAGAAAGATTAGCCAGGGGAGGCAGTGCATGCCTGTAGACCCAGCCACTCAGGAGGGTGAGGCGGGAGGATTGCCTGAGCCCGGGAGGTCAAGGCTGCAGGGAGGTGCAGTGGTGCCATTTCTCTCCAGCCTGGGCGACCGAGGGAGACCCCCAACTCAGAGAAAAAAAGAAAAAGAAAAGTAATCTCCTCCTCTGGAGAAGGCCAGGGCCACTGGAGAGGGGAGCATCTGCTGTGATTCCATTCGCGGGTCAAGGTCGCAGGACAGCATAGATTCCACAGGAACTGCTTCTGGGGGTTTTCAATCTTTTTGTTTGTTTGTTGCTGTGACCTAGAGATAGTATAATGCACTTCCATACATATACAACACATAAGAGTGTCACAAAAATTGTGCCCTCGCTATGTGTGACGTACAGTGATACTTTCTACTTGATTTTATTCCATTCCATTTTTTGTTGTTGTTGTTGAGTCAGAGTCTCACTCTGTCGCCCAGGCTGGAGTGCAGTGACACGATCATGGCCCACGGCAGCCTCAACCTGCTGGGCTCAGACAATCCTCCTGCTTCAGCCTCCCGAGTAGATGGGACCACAGGTGTGCACCACCACGCCGGCTAATTTTTCGATTTATTGTTGGGACGAGGTTTCGCCAAGTTACCCGGGCTGTCTCGAATCCCTGGGCTCAGGCTTGGCCTCGCAGAGTGCGGGAATGACAGGCGTGAGCCTCTGTGCCCCGCCAACGCATCTGTTTTTAAAAACTCCGGGGGCAACCCACGGAAGTCCTTTCACCACCGGCTAGGGAACTGGCCAGCAGCAAGCAGCACTTGCCCCAGACCCCAGCCTCAAACTGCAGTGTCAAGTGTGCGTCGAGCCCTCAGGTCCTAGACCCACCCGGCAAGGAATGAGGATAGGCCTGGGACTCTGCGTTTCTAACAGGCACCAACAGGGGCCTGAAGCCAAGGGTCTTCCGCCCGCGTGTGGAGACGTGGGGCTGTCTCCTCGTGCTGGCGCTCATCCCCAGGGAGCCACTTGCTGCCCGGTGCATCAACTCTCTTTCAAGGACAGACGGCCCCTGGTGGGGCCCAGCCGCCCCCAGTGCTGCCGTCCCTCCCACGGCGGCCTGTGCAGCGTGAGGGGCCGGCACGAGGGCTGGGTGCGGTCTGGGCGGGCTGGGTGCGGTCTGGGCGGGCTGGGGCGGGCAGGCCAGCTCAGAGCTGCAGGGCCGGTGTGGAGGGAGCCAGCAGTCGCACTTGATCGTGAATGCCCCTGCCGCAGAGTGTTTCCGGGGAAGCCTGTGCCGAGGGAGCTTTGAGGCGGTGGACACTGAGGCTTGTGGGTAACTCGCCCAGGTCACGCCATGGTGAGGACAGAGCGGGTCCGGCCCAGGCTGGTCTCCTCAGAGGCTCATGCCATCGACCGGGCGGCCGCCGGAGCCCTGGACGCAGAATGCCTGCAGGCCCTGGTCTGAGGGGCCTGGCGCTTTCTGTGGGCGCTGGGCAGGATGTCACCAGCCTGCTGGTGTGTCACCAGCCCTGCTGGTGCTCAGCAAGCGCGCGAGGCCCCGGTCCCCAGGGGAGGGTCCAGGCGGGGCGCCCAGGAGGCCCACCCTCACCCACGTTCGTGTTCTGTTCTCCCCACCTCGCTCTGGCGGCCCCCCAGTCGTTCCGTACGAGATCACCCTGTACACCAGCGATGTCTTTGCGGCCGGGACGGATGCCAACGTCTTCATCGTCCTCTACGGCTGCGATGCCGTGTGCACCCAGCAGAAGTACCTGTGCACCAACAAGCGGGAACAGAAGCTGTTCTTCGAGCGGAAGTCCGCCTCCCGCTTCATCGTGGAGGTCGGTGGCTCCCGGGCAAGGATGGGGGGCGGGGCTGCGTCGGGGCAGGACTCAGGACCCCCCAGGAGTTGGGATTGAGGGCGGCCGCCAGGCGCCAGGACTCAGGGAACCTGTGAGCCGAAGTCCGCGGGCCTAGCCAGTGCGTCCGGGACAGGTACCCAGCCACAAGGGGCATGTGGCCTCTGGGCCTGCCGGCTCTGGGCTTCTGCTGATTCTGCCCCGGTGGGTGAGACCCCCCGGGGGCCACGTGGGGACAGGGCCTCCCGTGCAGCCCTCAAGCCACAGGCGACAGCCCACAGAGAAGGGCTGCCTGTGTTTTCCGTGGCTCCGTCAGGCTCCCGCCCCTCAGCCCGCCACATCCTCACGGTACCCACCCTGCGTGCCCTGCTGTGTGCCTCTGATAAGTGGCCCGATCTGTCGTTCATATGTCAAGGGCACGCCAGGCGTGCTGGGCACCACCTCCCCGCAGCCCCCAGCTCCAAGGAGAAACCCCAGGAGGCCCCGGTCCACATGCGTCCTGCGTTGGTCTGTTCTGTGTTGCTATCAAGGAACGCCTGAGGCCAGCGGTTTATAAAGAAAAGAGGGTGATTTGGCTTGCAGTTCTGCACGGCGCCAGCCTCTGCTTCTGGGGAGGCCTCAGAAGATTTCACTCTTGGGGGAAGGAGAAAGGGAAGACCGTGTGTCACATGGCGAGAGTGGGAGCGATGGCGGGGGCTCTTCAAACACCCAAGAACTCACGGAGCAAGAGCTCACCACGAGGGCGCCAAGCCATTCAGAGAGGTTCACCTGGGACCCCGCCACCTCCCAGGCCCCGCCTCCAGCACCGGGATCACATTTCAGCACAAGATTGGAGGGGACAGACACGCACCCCCTTCCACCCCCAGCCCAGCGGCCATGCACTCTGTGGACCCCGTGAGCCAGGGCACCTCCCGGGCCCTCTCCCACTCCCGGGCAGCAGAGGGGAGAGGCTGCAGCCTCACTTCCCCGCCCAGGGACTGGCCTGGCACACACACACCGGCTTCTCTAGGCAGTGGGACAGCCGCGCACACCGCCAGGGTGAAGGCCCCCCGCTGCTGTGGGAGCCTGGAGAGACTTCATCGCCCCCTTTTGCAGATAGGGAGGCATTCGTCCCCTGGTTTGTTCATCCAACCCCACCTGGGTGTCCCCTCCACGGGCCCCCTTGCGGCTGTCGACGGTGGAGGCGATAGGGGGTGCCACACAAATCACAGGCCTGCACCCGTGGGGAGGGCTCCGGCAACTGCATGGTGCACCAGAGGCTGCCGCGAGGGGACATCGCTGTCCTGGGGGCCAAGGGGCTTCCTGAGGAAGCGAGAGGAAGGGACGCTGGGTCTGAGACCTGCGTGGCAGATAAGGGGTGGGGGAGGTGCAAAGCACGTGCAAAGGCCCTGTGGCGAGAAATGTGAAGTGTGCAGGGCTGGCCTTGGTGGGAACCCTGAGAAGAAACGGCTGAGGCGGCTCCTTGGGCTGATGGCTTGAGCATGGCCAGCCTGGCAAGGCAGGGGCGAGGCCCACTGAGATGCACCTTCCGACCCCCAACTCAGCCTCACCCAGAAAGATGTCCGGAACCGAGTGTGGAGTCGAGGCTGACTGCATGTGGGGCAGGACCAGGAGGCATGGGCCGGAGGGTGTCCAGGGGCGGGGTCCGGCCTGGCTGGACGTACCGGGAGAAGGTGGCCCTGACGTCCAGAGGGACCCTCGGAAGCGGGCTTTGCCGAGGTCACCCTCCCCAGACCTCCTGGCGACGCCGGCTGCCTTCCTCTGTCTTCAGCTGGAAGACGTGGGTGAGGTCATCGAGAAGATCCGCATTGGCCACGACAACACGGGCATCAACCCCGGCTGGCACTGCTCCCACGTGGACATCCGCAGGCTGCTCCCGGACAAGGATGTGAGTCTGCGGCATCTGTCCTGCGTCCTCCACCCCTTTCCAGGGCGCATTCGAAGTGTGGTCCCCACGAGAACTGGCTGGCGATGCCAGTCTCGTTTAGGCAGAACTGCAGTGGGAAAATCCACCCGGTTCACTCAGAGCGCAGTGACCGGCGCCACTTCAAGGTAGAGCCTTCTAGATTTGGTCCCGGGGTCAAGGCGGAGGGCCTGGCAGCCATGCCTCTGCTCTCCACCCCGAGGCCATATTCCCAGCGAGTGGCCGCGTGCCCGTCCCACTCCTCAAGGTCAACTCACAGGAGAAAACCCGCCGCGTGCCATTCGGCAACATTCTGAAACCGAGATTTCCAAGCCCAGGGGTGCCTCCCAGCCGCAGGTGTGGGTATGGCTGCCTTGGGAGTAGTTTGAAAATGCTGAGCCCGCCCCGCCACACGGGATCCGAGTCTCTGGAGTGGGGCTCGATGTCTCTTCGCAGGCCACCCTGCAGCCCTGACCTGTGAGAGCCGACCTTGATGGGGCTGTGCGAGTCGCCAAGCGAGGCTGGGGCTGCGGGCTCCCGTGTGGTTTCTGCTCTGCTCGGGGCCGGACCGTGCCCCTGGCCTCCACGGGCGTCGGTGCGCCGATGGACCCGAGGCTGCCGGCCTTCCCACGGGGCTCACCTTCCTCCCTCCTCCCGCCCAGGGGTCCGAGACCTTGACTTTCCCGTGCGACCGATGGCTCGCCACCTCCGAGGACGACAAGAAGACCCTCCGGGAGCTGGTGCCCTATGACATCTTCACGGAGAAGTATATGCGGGATGGGTCCTTGAGGCAGGTCTACAAGGAGGTGGAGGAGCCCCTGGACAGTAAGTGCGGGCTCCCCTCCTCTCGCTGCCAGGGCGCGCCCCAGGCC